CGACAATCACAAATAAGATCCCTTTAGAAGTGATAATACTGTACAGAAGTATGAATATCTTTACCTACTTGCTTTATCATCTCAATGATTTTTCAATGTGGTATTTCTGTGCTTTCCCTAGGAACATCAACGAGCTAATGATGTTAATGATGTAATAAGTGAAAGTCTCTGAAGGGGTTTTGTTATTGGTTTGCTTCGTTGCTCAATCTTCGACGTCAGGGTGAGTTATCTTGGTATTATTAATTTTACAGTTTAATAGCGACGGAACAAGTACCTATAAATCTATGTGCGAAGAGTCAGACTTAAGCACAGTCAAGGTAAGACTTCCTTCCATATATTTCAATTAACTTACAGAATGTATGTTGATTGTGTTATTTGTACGTATTTCAGGGGGTGTTCGAATGTCTCAATAATAAACAGAATGTAAAATTTGTTGAATGAGCTGCGTTTCTCCATGTTTAACAAATTGGTAGCAAGACAGAAACTTGGTGCTGACTTCCACCTAAACGTTCTACCCACCACATCTGGAGTTGCAAGGCAACACTCACTGCGAGTTTATCTCAAGGAAGGTAACGCATAAATAATGTAAATGTGTGTTGCCCAACCTGGAATATTCTCATTCAGCTCAGTCGTGGCTGGCTAGCCTACCGAGCAGCGTTTGTTGTGCTCCACCCAATCTTACTATACCGTAATACACCGTACCTTTCCGTATTTGAGGCAAAGCAATGATCCAGACTTGTGCAAGCAATGCGACCCGTGAGCTCCACACTGAAGTATTATAGACTTGAATGTTTCTCGAATTTGTATCATCTGCTTTCACAATCCGTTCCTGGACGCAACTTTTTTGATTTTTTTTTTTTTTTTGAATTCAATTAGTTTGTACTTTACTCTCGCTTATTTTAATGTGGATTTTTTTTTCTGGTGCTGCCCTAGCAAGGCAGAGATCGAAAGAGTAGCGACCTTACTACGATCAGGATTCTATCTCTACGTCAGAACGCGAGTTTGCGCACCTCTGCAGTTCAGGTCAAGTGATTGTGATAGAACTTAATGTGTTGGCCCAACTGAGTTTATTAGGTTTAGGATTGCCTATTTATCGTGTACTTAGATGCCGCTAGTGGCAGGTAGGGTTAGTGTTGCGAACATGCACACGGCGTGTAGGGGAGCCCCTGTCTTCATCTTTTGCGCTCCTTGTTGTCCGTTTTGATGAGGTCGGCAGCCACCTCGCCAATCATGATGGTCGGCGCGTTAGTGTTGCCGCTGACAATGTACGGCATAATAGAGGCGTCAGCGACCCTCAGGCCGAGTACGCCCTTCACGCGGAGGCGAGAGTCGACGACGGCCTGCCGGTCGTCCTTGCGGCCCATACGGCACGTCCCGGACCAATGCCATGCCGTCTGCGTGCGCGTGCGGGCGACACACCGCAGGTAGGCGTCGGAGCCGAAGGTATCTTTGCTGAAGACCGAAGACCGAGGCAGATAGAATTAAGTGCCACTCAAAATCAGCCGGTAGCAGGTTCCTCCGTCCAGGCTGAGGCATTGCCTCTGCCACGCCGTTAGGCAGGGGCACCGCCCGCGTGTGTTTCAATTAAATCCTTAGATTCCTGGACTTTTTCCTTTCTGGCGCCGTTCTCTCTCAGAAGGACTCGTACAGGCGGAGTTACAGAAGTTAAAACAAATAGAAAAGATAGTTAAAACGCACGTGGGTGACACCCTAGCCCTGCAGCGTATCCGTGACAGTGTGTGAGAGCCCGGCCGCAGGTGCAGTTGCTTCTGGCTGACTTACAAGACTTGTCGCTTCGAATTTGAGCCTCACAGGAAAACATTATCCGCATAATTCAATTTCGAAGAGACCTTCATTCGCCAACCTTCTAGCGCAAAGAAGTCTTTTTTGATCTGACTTACGAGCATTGTGAGTTACTTGTCTTGTCGAGCACGAGTCCCAATTTGGCGAGTGGCTTCTCTAGTTTCAACACCAGTTTGAGGCCCTCGACGACCGTAGCAAGGTCGTGACCTTTGGGGTCGCTGAAGTAGTTGAGCTTCACGAGTGGGGGCCCGCTGGGATTGGACACGTTCAGGCGCACCCAGCCCTCGCTTTCAGGACGCATCAGAGACGGCCACGTCACCACCCGGTTCATACGCCAAGCATCGGGCTGCACGCACCTGAAATAATCATAAAGTCAGCTTAGTCATTTTCCAAAGACAGTTGTGTTGGAGCACGTAAAAAAAAGTATTAGGCCAATAAAGGATATGACCCTTTTTTTAGGTGTTCTAACAACGTACACGTCACACTTGACGGTTGGCGCGTGTACTATTTCGCTTGTCCCCATTGCAAAGTACGCACAGCGGTGCAGCGATAGCGAAACCACGCCCAGTTCTTAGGCGCTGGCCACGTATCGATGTTTAAGCCCACCCTTCTGCTTTAGAAAAACTATCTGGTGGGCTTATGCAAACGACCTCGAGTCTTTGCGTCTGCCTATTTCACTAGAAGGAGGAGATATGCTAGAGACTTGCAATAATTTTCAGGGGTATCTTAAGCTTCAGAGAACGCCATTCTTTGGCATTAAAGACGTCAAACCAGTTTACAGTGTACAATAACAGGTTGGGTGCGAGTATCCTTTCCCTGCCTCTGTGCCCTCATTGGCGGAATTACATTTGGGTTGGCTGTTCGCACCAAATTGAGGAAGATATATCCAAAACAGCACTTTCTGAATCAGAATCTGTCCTTTGGATGAGGCCTGAGCGGCAGCGCTCCTTCTAGCTCCGGCCGCTAGGGCACAGCACGCTCTGAG